GACCCCCCTTAGAATCGCTTCCACTTTCTGTGGTGCACTTCTTTCTAAGCCGGTTGAGCCAGTTTCAGCAGAATTCACCTTTGACGAGTCCCGACCAGGGCGGTTTATGGGAGAGAGGCAGGCAAGTAAGAAAAATAAAAGTAGGATTCTGATCTACAGAATTCCAGGTACAGAATATGCATATAGTTTTGAGGGGATGCGCATGAACAAAAGTGAAGAAGTTTTTTGTTGCTTTCAGTGCAGAAGGGAGAACGAAAGACATGGAAGTAAATCAGTGGAACCTGCCATTGAAGTAAAAAATAAGATTTCGCTTCAATTTTCAGTGTAGAGCTTAAATGAGCTCACTACATTATCGACATTCAGGTCATTGGTGATGAGTTTATGAGTGACCGTGCACTCTGGCCCATGAATGTAGCCCTGCGAAATATGTAGGAGAAAGGGGAACAAGGGCAGTTTACGAGGTATGTTTAGGCATTTGTGGAAATAAGGGATTAGTTCACCAGGTGTCTTTTCAGGAGCTTCAAAAGATAAGGGAGGACCCCAGTTACGCCGGAAAACAACCTGTTAAAGTTTTCATAGAACTCATCGCAAAAAATAGAGATCTAGAGAACGGCAACACACTATACCTAGTATTTCAGGGTCACCGTTTCACTTTAGCACAATTTGCAGTAGAGATTGCGGATTGAAACATGGCGACAATTCGCAAAGCACGTTATAGATCTGGAAGGCGAGCTATACAAAAGAACATAAATCTATGGCAAAACCGCTCTGTAACGATGGAGAACGGAGAACGAAGAATTTCGCGTCCTTCAAGATGGTTCGCTGTTTTTGCAAGTGCAGGAGGCACGGTTTCACTTCTACTACTCAGCGAAAACCATCCACGTATAGGTAGCAGATGTAGTAGCCGCTCTGAAGGAAAACTTCTATGATGCTTTTAGATGGCGTGCGAAAATGGCCTTTACGCGATCGTAGCTGATGGAGTGCATTCCCCGCACCCGAAATGTTTGGGACGTTATGCGCAGTTGTATTCTCTCCATGAAGTATGCAGCCATGGAGAAGAAGTTCCGTTAGTGTTCTGCATAACTGAGAAAAAAACGCGCAAGGTGTGCAAGAAAATATTCGAGCAGTTGAAGCGGAACATCGAAGTAGTATGTATGTAATCGAAGGAGAAGGACCTCAGCGCGTAGTGCTCGATTTCGAAAAAGCAGCCATACAGGCTGCTGAACTCGTGTTTCCGAACGCTACTGTCGAAGGATGCGCATTCCACCTTGCGCAAGCTTGGAACTGCAAAAGGGATTCCTTAGCACTTCGGAAACACATTCAAGGGCACTCAAGAGATGATCGCACCGTAAAATGGTGGCAAACGATCGAAGGTAGTTAGAGTTTCAGTTTTTATGTATACATACACAAAATGTATTTTTTACAGGGATAGTGTTCCTTCCGACTGAGCTCCTCTCTAGTACAAGCACTTCAGAGGCCTCCTGTGCCCCACGACAATGTCGCGTAAGGCAAATGCCAGGAGTTCCTTGACTACTTGAAAAGCAACTGGATGAGTGAGTCATTCAAAGATCTGTAGTGTAAATGGAAGCTCAAGGAGTTGAGAACTACTAATCTCGCTGAAGCTTTTCACAGGTATACTACTCCTTGAAAGGCCGAGATTCCGAAAAATTCAAGTTGTTCCAGGCGGTTACAAGTTCTGGCAGGCGTCGATCATCCACCACTGAACACCCTGATCGACGTATGAGATGTCTAAATTATGAAGCAAAGGCTGCACTTATACGTCTTAAGCAAGTAAAGATTTCGGTAACCGGAACCGGACCTTCACTCAAATTACAAGACGAAATTTCATCGAGAATTCAATTTCAGAATCCAGGAGCCAGATCTTAGCAAAGGAATTACCAGCGGAGGGAAAAAAAGATCTACGAGGAAATGGAGAGGTGGGATATTTCGAAAAGTTTCCTCCTATTTCGACCGTATGTAATATTTTACATTTTC